TTACTTTAAGTTGGATTACTGTGCAAGCTTGAAGAATCTTGAAACCATTTCTAACAAACAAAACTACAAATTTATACAGGTATGAAAGTTTTCTTAAAATTACTATACTGTGCCTATTTAGAAATTATAATACACATATCTTTCTGCTTTACTAACTTGTGTGATAATGGGCTTGGATCTTATTAAAGATCTTATAAAAGATCAGGTAGTTAATTTCCAGAAGCAGTCATGTGTTCTAGAGAATACTACTTTTCAACTGATGTCATATAAAAAGTTGCCTGTGATTTTTGGTACCTTGATAGTGCTATGAGTAGCTAATTGAATTTTCATGGTTTGTAATTTTAGGTCCTCAGTAGCTTCTTTGATAAGGCCTTCCTGCATTCAAAGTAATTGGGGTGTTACCCTGTAAAGCCAGCCAGAAATCTACCATGAAGCTCCTAAGACAGTCTTCCCCCCAAAGGTTGATTGATTCTGGAAGTCTGATCTTATTGATCTTAAATGAGTCCACAGTATAAACCACAGGGCCAGTTCATTAATTTGCAAAGGGAATATTACTCCAGATGAAACTATTTCTTCTTTATATATCTTTTTATAAAGTAATTGTATGGCTCTCTTTTTAACCATAAAACTTAAAAAATACTAAGGAACCATTTCATAATTGTGTGCTTCTGTGTGAAAGTGTTCTCTTTATTACAGAAGAGTTATTGAAAATATTTTTAGAAGAATTAAAGGTCCATAAGCATCAAAAGTATCATAATTTTACTTAGTTGTGGTAAAATATGTTTTCAAAAAGGCCTCCCAAATTGTTACAGTTACCTTAAATACATTTCAATTAGCATTATCTCAAAACATTGTTTTTAATACTGAAAAAAACCTTAGGTTGGTGAGAATGTTGTGAAAAAACTATTTCAGGACGTGGTAGTAGTTGGTGCTCAATAAGATATTGTTTATACTTGTCTGCAAAAATATTGTGAATCTAATATCTGATATCCTAAGATGCTAGAGAAATACATCATCACTATAGTCACTTAACCGCTCGGTTGAATTTTCAGCATACTCTTTTAAACTGAGCAGTGGGAGGTGGGGAATGTTACAGTAAAAGTGACCCAACTTTTTCATGTTTGCTTTTTCATATAGGGTGACATTTGTGATTCTCACTTTGTGAAACTGCTTTTTGAAACAGAGAAAATAGATATAGTACTACATTTTGCTGCACAAACACACGTAGGTAAGTGTTGTTTTATGTTACAGTTATGATTGGCTATTTTTCCCTCCGTGGCTAACTAGCCTAAATCCAAAGTCCAGTAGTGGGTAGAATAAGTAGCTGCAGACTTAACACACATCTCTGAAAGAGGTATACCCGGCTGTACCAGAAAAACAAGCCCATGGTCGCTGTGCCATCAACATATTTGTTACTCTTGGATCACTTTTATTAGTGTGGGTTGAAATGTGTATAACCTCCCTTAAAACTTTGAGTTTAGCCAAATTCAGGGTAGTGATTGCTTCTGAAAGGGAGGAATGGGGAGATGGGCCTTCAACTGTATTTTCAGTGTTTTTCTTATTGAGTGGTG